ATAGATAATGGAAAGCATCCCTAGTTATTGTTTGCTCCACTCTCTGTCTCTTTAGATCCTACTTCTACCCCTCAAAACCACATTCCACAGAAAACTTGAAAATTTATACTTTCTACTCTGACAGAGGTAGATCTTTTTGGATCTCTGTACAAATTCTGAGAAATGAGAAACGAGAAGGATGGTTTCTAGGAAATAGCATCACCTTCTGATTAAAGCTGGTCTCTGTGCTGACAGGGATATTCATAATTCATATTCATAAATCACAAACCTGACTGATGATAAGCCAATCTAGCAAAAGGGAAGAGCCAGGGGATCCATCAGAGAGATGCAGAAATCCTGACCCAAGATGACTTACAATCCTTTACTCTGAATATTTTCAGAAAACAACATACTTTTTCAGTTTAAGTTGGTTTTTCTGATAGCAAAAGCCAAAATGTAATCATAAAAAAATCATTATTATAGTTTGGTAAATCATATAATATACCATATTTCAAAATGAAATACAGAAAAATTAACTCTAACATTAACTACAACACTTTACAAAAGCTTTAAGTTTTTATTTTATTTTTCTTTATTAATTACACTTTACTCACTTTGTATCCCGCCCCCCCCCGTGGTTCCCTCCCTCCTCCCATCCCAATCCCTCCCTTCCTCCACCCTCTCTGCATGCATGCCCCTCCCCAAGTCCACTGATAGGGGAGGACTTCTTTTCCTTCCTTCTGATCCTAGTCAATTAGGTCTCATCAGGAGTGGCTGCCTTGTCCACTTCTGTGGCCTGGTAATTCTGCTTCCCCCTTAGGGAGAGGTAATTAAAGAGCAGGCCAATCAGTTCATGTCAGGGACAGTCCCTGTTCCTATTACAATGGAACCCACTTGGATACTGAACTGCCATGGGCTACATCTGTGCAGGGGTCTTAGGTTATCTCCATGCATAGTCCTTGGTTGGAATAGCAGTCTAAGGAAAGACCCCTGTGCTCAGATTTTTTGGTTCTGTTGCTCTCCTTATGGAGTTCCTGTCTTCTCTAGATCTTATAATATAGGATAAACCTACTAAAATCTGTACACCTAAAGAAACTAATCAAGCTTTACGTTTTTAATTGCTACAGTTTTCGTGTGGCTTGCCTCAAGCACTTATGCATTTGAGTTATTGTCCATCTTAAGGCACCAACAATGCAAACCTAATCTCGCTTTGCTTTTACAAAGCATGTCTTTGGGTGGTGATGACCTCCTCCAAGTGGAGCCTCCAAGGTAGAAGCTTGGAGCTCAGTGAATGAGAAGGAGGGAAAGAGAAAGAGAGTGAAAACACACATTTATGTTCCTTCTCAGCTGGTGATGCTAAGATCACGTTTGGCCTCCATTAAACAAATTGGGTCCTGTCAAAATTGGAGCTATAAGGTATCACACATTTTTTTGACATTTTTGTTATTATGTGTTGATGATTTCATACATGGAATTCTATTCTGAACTGACACAACAGTCAACTACTCCTCATGAAAACTTGCCTCACATTAGACTAGCTTTTGAATTCTTGATTCTTTAATTGTGAATAACTTCAGAACCAAAGTTCAGGTCACAGAGTTTTGAGCCTTTAGAAACATGAAACATAAACACCTGTATTAAGAAACAAAATGTGAAAATGAATAAAAATAATTTCAGACATATTCATCATTTTCATGCTAGATTTTATTTATTGTTTTCTCTTTAAGTTTAGAAGAACATAGAGAACATTAAGATATGTTTTAATATTTTTCATTTGACAATCTTTAAAAACTGCAACAAGGCACATTTGTACTACATCATCCTAAAACATACAGATTTGGCAGTGTGTATAGAGGAGGAGTCGAGATACTTGCTGGAGGTATCTCTGTTTCAGTGAGTTTTTGTGCATTAATAAAACAAAGGCTGTCTTTCTTCTTCAAGGCACTTGGGTAAAATTATTTTTATTTACTATGAAAAAATGAACTTTCATTGCTAACTAGAATGATGCAATGTAACTGTTGAAACACACACATTTAGAAGGAATAAAATTTAAATAATGAAGGGAATGCACTGAGAATTTATGTATTTATGTTAAATACTGGAAATGTGCAATTTCTAATAAGGTATTAGGATACTGGATTATTAATCTGAGACAACAGTCTATCTGTATATCTGGTAAAGTGTTTTTTACCAGTTACTTGTGTACATAAGAGGGAAGGAATCAAGGTTTATCAATCATTGTTCAAATATTTGAATACTTTCACAGATTAAATAACCCAGAAAGTGTTGTTATGACCTGACACACTTATGTACTGTCTAGCCCTGGCACCTTACTAACTCTATTTCTTCTGATATTAAAAATACACATCAGCTTAGTGATTCTGCAAGCCAATTCATCTGAATGGATATATGAGTTCTACATACCCTGTTAGAATATATTAGTGCTCATCCAAACATGTGCTGCTTAAAGATTTAAAAGTGAATATCTAAAAGCTTATTCCATTCCTTACACCAAATACAAACAAGTCTTGCTTACAAAAATTATTGATAATATGAACTATATACACTGATAGATGAAAACGTAGATTGTATTCCTATGTCTACCTGACTCCTTGTTTATACTCCATACACATGCATATTTATATATGAATATACAAACCTTTTAAGGTGTTTATAATAAATCACAGTCAAAAAAAAGTCATCTAAATGAGATGCTGAATAGTTTAAAATTTTTCTTTGGAATAGCTTTAAAAACAAAAAAAAGTGAGAATATTGATCAATTAAGTTTAAAATATCTTTGATGTAAAAATAATTCCATGTGAATACAAATTACTCAAGAGAAAAACTAGCTAAGGTTCTTGAAACATTAATTTAAAAGTATGAAAATATCAATGGCAATAAATACATGACACAAGGCAGAACTTTGAAACAAAAAAGAAATTATTAAAAATGTACAATGAAATACTAGTGCATATTTGTATTTGTAAATACAATGAATCTGCCAGATGCTTACAAACTATTTAGGTCCTTGGACAATATGGAATTATGCACTTGCCTATACTTACAATAAATATGTGATTGCTATGAAATGTCTGCAAGACATTTGGGCAATGAATCAAAATAATTTTTATTGATTTTTAAATCACTAATTACAGGTTTTTTTTTTTCCCTAGAAAGAAATTGGAAGCATCACAATAGCACTTGGGAAGAATACTTACCTTCAAGATCTCTTGGCAAAAGAGAAAAACAACAGGAAACACAATGCAATACCATTCACATTTAGTAATCATGGAAACCTCATCCACCAGAGTCATAAAGCACTAAGATAATATGTAAATAATTACTTGAGTAGGTTGAATTTTATCATCCTACAACATCAAATCAAAAAGAGTAACTTCAAACAAAATTGCTGATGTTACCTTTCTAAACTACCTGTTGCTATACACATAAAAAGTTAGGGAAAATATGCCACAGTTTTTAATATAATGTGTTTCTTAAAATGTTCTGTTACTTTTATTTTCTCTCAATTTTTTAATATTTAGATTATAAAACGTGCAAATTACACATACATGGGATATAAAAATGAGATTTTTCTTATTCATAAAGTATTGTCAATGAAAAATATGTACTAATAATATTTGAAGTAAGTAGTTGTAATAAACGGTAATAAGAAATGACCAAACAATCACAAACAGAAAAGCAAAAACCAACAAGAAATATGAAAGCAGCAGTAACAACAAGGCTTTTCACACCTTTGGTAACATTTTAAAGGTAATGAGTATATTCTGAAAGAAAATGACTCTTACCTCTGATTTTAAATGGATTTGAGGTAGTAATATGAAAAGCCAGTGTAACAACACCTTTGTAAAGATGTGTAAAAATGAGATAAGTAATATTTATGGACAGAAGAGAGAACCATAAGAGAAGAGTGTTAAAATAAAAGACATGCTAAAAACAAAAACAAAAACAAAAGCAAAACCACCTGGTGACATAATTTCACTTCTTCTTCAGAATACCAACAAAAGCCAAAAGCAAACCCAAGAGCTAACAGCACTCCCAAGCCTAATAAATGGAAGTGGAGGTTTATGGAAATAAGGCACTTGCTTTTCTGAACACTGGGATAGATTATTATAACATGAAGATTTTTGTAAATGTTGACTTTGGAACAGAGTTTCTGAGTTGCATAGATATGGCTTTCATGAGTTCAGCATCTTGTGAAAACCCAATACTGCATCACACTGAACCACATGGGTGTAATGGGGTTTAAATGAGGTTAGGTATCCATCAGCAGCATAAATGCAGGTTTATAGGACTAAGAAATATAAGGTAAGGCTTTACTATCAGGACAATAAGAAAGTAAAACAAGCAAATGAAAAAGAAAAAACAAAATAACAAAAATCATCATCTACTACCATCTTAATATAGAATGAAACCAAACACACCATAATAGGTGTATTCATGTACCTTATAACTATTGCTTGGTACTTAAAAATAGATTAAAAAGTGAAATTTGTTATTTAACTGAATTCTGTCTATTGATCTATAAAATTCTGATTTGCAAAAAAAAAAAAAAAAGGAAAAATACTGCAATGAAAAACATTAAGATTCCTGATAGTTTAAAAACAATAAATTTGTTTTGACACTTTTTCATAGCAGAAATTAAAGCTTGCAACATTATTGAACCAGAGGAAAATGTGCAATAAATACAAATATTTGCTTCACTTAGTTCAAAATATAAGAAAAATGTAACCAACTAAACAGTTGGAAATATTAGTAAATAAGAAATATAGTTTTTTTTTTAATTTGAAGATATGCCCTGTAAAACAAACCGAGCTTCTAACAAATGTTTTTATATGCATATAAAATATTTTTTTTTTTGTATACAAAATTCGTTGCATAGTAGCAATGAATTAAGTAGCCGCCTGGTTTTGAAGCTTACCCTTCCTTATAGCACCTATGGGTGGGGAGCGATATTGTTCTTCTAGCTGCTGCTCAGAATGGTGAGGTAGAATTGTTTCAGCTCAGTGCTTCTGACCCAGTGCAATGTTGAGGGGTTTAGAACCAAGGATGCGGCCATTCATCTCAGCCATTGCTTTAGCAGCTGCATCGGGAGAGAAAAAGCAGATCAAGCCAAACCCTTTGCTCTGCCCTGCTTCCTGCATCACCTTAACTCGGCAAATGGACCCAAAGGAAGAAAATTCCCTGCGCAGTGTCTCGTCATCGATGGTTTCATCCAGATTCTTAATGTAGAGCTTCGCCGCTTGACGTGCACGGATTCTTTCCCTTTTCATCTGCTCAAACTTTTCCTTTAACTCAGCTTGGCGTTCTACCTTGTTCTGGGCTCTGCCTGCAAAAATGGTCTGCCCGTTTATGTCCTGTCCATTCATCTCTTCGACTGCAGTTTTCGCAGCCTCGTGGCTATCAAAACTCACAAACCCAAAGCCTTTGGACTTCCCAGTGGCATCTTTCATCACCTTAACACTCAGCGTTTGGCCGTATTTGCTGAAAATTTCCCTGAGCCTTTCATCGTCCATATCATCCCCAAAGTTTTTTATGTACACGTTAGTGAATTCGCTGGGTTTCTCTCTGAGCTCAGCCTCCCGATCCTTGCGGCTCTTGAATCTGGCCACAAATATGGTGCAGTCCTTCAGCAGCTTCCCATTCATCTCCTCAATGGCCCTGTCTGCTGCACTCTGGTCCTGGTAGTGCACGAAGCCATAGCCCTTGGACCCTTTGTCATCGCTCATCACCTTGGAGGACAGGATCTTCCCGAAAGGTGAAAAGTGTTCGTACAAGGTTTTGTTATCAATGGATTTGTCCAGATTCTTGATAAACACATTCCCAATTCCCGACTTCCTCAGGTACGCATCCCGTTGGGACCACATGAGACGGATGGATTTGCCTTTGATTAAGTCAAAGTTCATGGTGTCTAGGGCTTTCTGGGCATCATCCAGCTGGAGAAAATTGACGTAGGCATAGCCTAGCGAGCGACTGGAAACCAGGTCCCTGCAGATTCGGATGGACAACACTGGCCCCACTGTGTTAAACTTCATGAACAGCATGTCCTCCGTGACGTCTTCATGGAGGTCACCAACATACAGGGAAGCCGCACGGTATTTGGCTTCCACACTCATGGTTTAGGTCTTGTTGGTTGGCTGGTTGGTTTGTTTGTTTGTTTGTTTTACCCCAACACTTCAAGCCTGTTCCCAGCAGCTCCCCATGGATGTGTCCTCCTGCAGGACAGGAAGCACAGCCACACCTAAGGGCCTTCAGTGTGGCCTCAGACGGATGACCACTTAAATGTCCAGCTGCAGGATCACTTGCACTTTCCCCAAGCCAGGCAACAGAGCTCATCAAAAAAGTCAGAAACCGGTTTCCTTTCCTGGTAGTTGGCAATCTGCCTTCAACTCTCGGCCTCAGACTTTCCTTCCCTTCCAACTCAGCAACAACTTACAAGTGGCTAGCCAGCACAGGCCCTCGGTCTGCGTCCATCCCAGCAGCTGCTGGCTGGTTCCCGAGCACAGACAGGCCTTGTTCAGCTGGGGTAGACTTCCAGCTAAGCCGGGAGCGAGCCAGGCCTCCGGGGCGTGCAGCCCAGGCCCAGGGCCGGAGGCCGGGTCCAGTGCAGGGAGCCGAACCCACCCCGTGCCTTTGTGCGCGCCCAGGCCACCCACCCCGCACCAGGGTGGACCGCCCCGCCCCGAAGGGACCTGACTGAACCTTAAGGCTCACCAGGTTGCTCACGGCAGGCGGCGGGAACCGGGAACTCGCTGGCTACCACTGTTTGCTCTTTCACACTTTGGGGGGAGCCCTGTTCCTCCCCAGACGCTCTGCTCACTCCCTAGCCGAAGTCCGCAGGGCTCAGGATAGGAGGCGGTGTCGTGGGTGGAGAAAACGGCTGGGGGTGTGGCCGGGCAGCCCACCATCAAGCTGCTCCCTTCTTGTCTGTTTTGTCTACACCAGCCTACACAAGCAAGGATCCGGATCACACAATTCCTGGGGACACCCCGCCTTGGCCTTGAAGAGGTCCCGACAGGCTCTGCGGGTCCAGCAACTTTCTGCAGAATCTCTTCAGGGACCCCTTCCCACAAAACTCCTGAGACACACTTGCTTTTCTTGCAAGATAAACTTTTAATTTATTTTTTTTAAGACCCCAGATTCAATCCTCTGAGCACAGAACTTTTCCCAGCATATCCTCTGATCGTCTAGTTCTCTCTTTTTCAGACAGTTTCACTGTTTCACCGTCTCCTCGCTGATTACAAGAGGCTCTGTTCCAGGACACTATGCTATCTGCATTTTATTTTCCGAGATTTACGATAATGAGTGATTTTTCAGAATGTCCACTATATTGAATACCTCAGCTGTGTGGAACAGATGAGTTACTGAAGCTGCCTGGAGAAAGCAGCGCTTAACTCAGAGTGTTCAGGAGATGTTACACAAATTAATAGATTTGGAAACGTCGACACAGTATAAAGAATGTAATCAGTTCCTTGTAATATTGGCTCTACTTCCTCTAACATTAAATACATCAAATAAAATGTATTATGATTCCTGGCAAATCTTACAATTTGAATCATGATGCCTTTAGAAAATGAAAAATATTTACCTGAGGAAGTGAATTGGGTAGGTCAGTTTGCAAAAACAACAACAACAAAAATAGTGCATTGAAAACTTTAATCAACACAGACGTTGCCTAAAAGCCATGGTTAAAAGCAAATTCTGTCTCAATAACTGAGATAGATAGAAAACTCAACATTTCTCACTAATGAGACATAGAAAGTCTGCTGTTCTCTGATTTATATGGATAGAAGGATTTTTGTATCTGAGTCCAGAATTAATAGAGTGTTTTCACATGTAACCAGAAAAAATTAAAGTATACATCTCCCTAGGGAGGGAAATGACATTCTCTTAAAAAGACATTTTATATGTTAAAAAGCATCAGATTTTCACTATAAACTACAAATTTCACTTAGTTTATTTAAAATTAATTATGTGGGAGACCAGACCATGCCATCCAATAGGGGACAGACTGTTGAAGAACAATTAAGAATAAACAATATTATGAAAACTGATTGCTCTCTAATTGCTTATCTAAAAGCAGAACATACATTTTATACAATTAAAAAAAAAAATCACTTGTCTACTTAGCGATCCTAAATCAGTCACTGAAAACAACCTGAGAACCTTAGCAGGCTAGGAAGGTGCCAGAGAAATCTCCATTATTATTTTTTTTTCTTTTTCTTTTTTTTTTAATTTTATTTTTTTCTTATCAGTTACATTTTATTAACTCTGTATCCCAGCCATGTCCAGATCCCTCATTCCCTCCCAGTCCCTCCCTCCCTCCCTCATCTCCACCATGCCCCTTGCCAAGTCCACTGATAGGGGGGACCTCCTCCCCATTCATCTGATCCTGTTTTATCAGGTATCTTCAGGACTGGCTGCAAAGCTCTCCTCTGTGGCCTAACAGGACTGCTCCTCCCTTGGGGGGTGGGGAGGCCAAAGAGCCAGTCATTGAGTTCCTGTTAGAAATAGTCCTTGTTCCCCTCACTATGGGAAACCAATTGGTTACTGAGCTACCACAGGCTACATCTGAGCAGGGGTTCTAGTTACATTCATACATGGTCCTTGGTTGCATGTCAGTCTCAGAAAAGACCCTGTGCCCAGATATATTTGGTCCTTGTGGAGCTCCTATCCTTTCCTTATCAGACTAATTCCCCTTCTTTCTTATGATTCCCTGTACTCTGCCAAAGGTTTGGTCATGAGTCTTTGCTTTGAAAACACTGCTAGTTAGAGTCTTTCCAATGCGCTCAGTAGACTCCTGTCAATGTTCAATGCGCATCCCCTCTGTCTTTCAACACGAGGATTGATAATCTTACCCCATGTCCGCTCTCTTGATTATCTTTTTTAGGTGTATAGATTTCATTATGTTTATCATATCTTATAGGTCTATATAAGTGAGTATATACCGTGTTTGTCTTTCTCCTTCTGGGATATTTCACTCAGGATGATCTTTTCTAGATCCCACCATTTGCCTGCAAATTTCATGATTTCCTCCTTTTTGATTGCTGAGTAGTATTCCATTGTGTAAAAATACCACAATTTCTGTACCCATTTCTCCGTTGATGGACATCTGGGTTGTTTCCAGGTTCTGGCTATTACAAATAAAGCTGCTATAAGCATGGTAGAGCAAATATCCCTTTTGTGTACTTGAGCAAACTTTGGGTATATACCTAGCAGTGGTATAGCTGGGTCTTGAGGAAGCACTATTCCTAATTGTCTTAAAAAGCAGCAGATAGATTTCCAGAGTGGTTGTACCAGTTTACATTCCCACCAGCAGTGGAGGAGGGTTCACCTTTCTCCACAACCTCTCCAGCATGTGTTGTCCCTTGAGTTTTTCATCTTGGCCATTCTGATGGGTGTAAGGTGAGAAATCTCCATTATTAAGGAGCCCATTTTCCCCGTATTTTGCTTTGCAAATCTTTTGTACCTAGAGACTCAAGTTATATTTCTGAATTTGTTTTTCCAGTTTTGTGAAAATATTCTATACTAAGCTGGAATTCAAAACCATTCCTGTGAAATCTACTCATTAGCTGTACCTTCCACTAGAAAATGGATTGATAATAAATGTGCATTTGTTTTTCTCCTGTAAATTTTTTTCTTGTTAATGGGTTCATTCTAAGAAAGGCTCAATGAAGTGCAGAAAAAATTCTTCCACTGTAGCAATGGATTTATGGTTATTAATAAACAAATCTTGGTTGACTTCATTTGTCTTTAGATCACCCTGATATAAATTATTCCTTCTTTTTTAAATTTATTTACTTTTATTAATCACAGTTTATTCACTTTGTATCCCCCCATAAGGCCCTCCCTCCTCCCCTCGAGGTCCCATCCTCCCTCCTCCTTCTTCACGCATGCCCCTCCCCAAGTCCACTGATAGGGGAGGTCCTTCTCTCCTTCCTTCTGATCTTAGTCTATCAGATCACATCAGGAATGGCTGCATTATCATCTTCTGTGGCCTGATAAAGCTGCTCTCCCCTCAGTGATCAAAGAACAGGCCAATCAGATTATGTCAGAGGCAGTCCCTCTTCCCATTACTATGTAACCCACTTGGACACTAAGCTGCAATGGACTACATCTGTGCAGGGGTTCTAGGTTATCTCCATACCTGGAACTTGGTTGGGGTATGAGTCTCTGGAAAGACACCTGTGTTCAAATTTCTGGTTCTGTTGCTCTCCTTGTGGGGTTCTTGTCTTCTCCAGATCTTACTATTTCCCACTTCTTACACAAGATTCCATGCACTCTGCCCAACAGTTGGCCATAAATCTCAGCACCTGCTTTGATAGTCTGCAGGGTGGAGCCTTTCAAAGGCCCTCTGTGGCAGGTTCCTAGGTTGTTTCCTGTTTTCTTCTTCTTCTGATGTCCATCCTCTTTGCTTTTCAGGATGGGGATTGAGCATTTTAGTCAGGGTCCTCTCTCTTGATTAGTTTCTCTAGATGTACAGAGAAACTAAACATTATCCTATGTTATATGTCTATATGAGTGAGTATATACCATGTGTGTCTTTCTGCTTCTGGGACAGCTCACTCAGGATGATCCTTTCCAGGTCCCACCATTTACCTGCAAATTTCATGATTTCCTTATTTTTCATTGCAGAGTAATATTCCATAGTGTAGATGTACCACAATTTCTGCATCCATTCTTCAGTTGGAGGGGCATCTGGGCTGTTTCCAGCTTCTGGCTATTACAAATGAAGCTTCTAAAAAGATGGTTGATAAGTGGTGTGTACGGACAAAATTGTCCATTTCTTTTAGATCTTCCATTTTTGTGGAATACATGTTTTTGAAGTATGACTTAGTGATTCTTTGGGTTTACTCAGTGTCTGTTATTATGCCCACCTTTTTATTTCTGTTGTTTTTAATTGGGGTATTTTTTTCCTTTCTCTGTCTTTTAGTTAGTTGGGATAAGGGTTTGTCTTCTCTGCTCATTTTCTCAAAGAAGGAATTCTGTTTCATTGATTCTTTGTATTGTTCTGCTTGTTTCTAATTCATCAATTTCAGCCCTGAATTTTCTTATTTCCTGCTCTCTTGGGTGTATTTGCTTTTTGTCTTAGAGCTTGCAGGTGTGCTGTTCAGTT